GTCTTGTAACACACAGAAGGAAACTTCGAGGGCTCTATAAGGTATATACTCGTATAACTTAATTATCAGCGTTGATCTGAATCATTTAGCCAGGTCCGTATAGGCGGTATGGTCTTATTTACTAAGCGAAAAGAGATTTTGATGATTTCAGAAGAAGGGTACTTGAAAGTTTTTTGGGATCATAATATCACAGAAGATTCTCTTCACCGAACTACGTTCAAGTTTTGAAAAAACTCTGCTAGAATGATGAAAACCACTCTCAAAAACGTCTATCTGAGAAAATTGCAGACCCTTATCAACAAAATGGGCGGGTCTTCAAAWCGGATATATGGGTATTTGGGTTACTTATGACCCTATAGTAACTACTTGTATACTTCTGATTCTTATTTAATCGCTTGCCGGTGAAAGCTTTACTCTGGAATGTGTATAGTATCATATAATTCAAAATTGGTTAGGTTGAATTTTTTTTCTGCCTTTTCATATATTCCCAACTGTTACTCGAAACTCATCCTTATTCCTTAATCTAACTTAGTTTTTTTGGATCGTTCTCGGTCAGTTCTTCACCCGATTGCTCGCTGGGTCTCACTGTAGATCCCTCTTCCCATATTATGCGTCTCTATGCCTGCAAGTTGCCCTCATTTGTTCTCTCGTCGCATCCGGCTTTACGTCTTTTTCGTTTTATGCACACACAAATACGCATTAACGTACATACGTTTCCTTGGAAATGGAAGACAGTGCATTTCTCGCAGCAATCAAAGCCGCAACAACAATAACAAGCATAAGAATAAAAGTAACATTAGCAACCACATTCCAACCATCCACACATTATCTACAGCAGCTACAAACGAGCATACACTCGTACAGAACAACAAAAACAACAAAAACAACAACAATAGCCACAACAGGAATACTTCACAAAGCTAGCGGGTGAGCTATGCCCATACATATGTATGTATGTATATAAAGACAGGCGGACAGACCCATAGCGACGTAGGACGCAATGGCTGAGCGGGCAGTGATAAATGATCGTCTGTAGTTTACACACACGCACATGCAAGCAGTTCATATATGTACATATATACATACGCACAGACCCCCTCAAAGTAAAAATATCTTTTCCCTATCTGCGCTCAGCCTTATACACACATACACATATGTATACATATAGAATACGTAAATATATTGTGTATTCGCTCGAGGAACGAGGAAGCGAAAAAGTTTCGATAAATAAGCAAGAAAAAATATAAACAATCTGTCATAAGAGCGGCCGAGAATTATAAGTGGATTTGTGTGTGCATACTTATGCATGTGTAAGATATGTGTGTGCCTGAAGAGTTTGCCTGAAGAAAGCAAAGTGTTGGGAAAACAGGGTGTTGCATCAGCAGTTCTTACAGTCTTATTTGCTGCGTTGTTTCGGTCATTTCACATATGTACATATAAACATATTAAGAAGGAAGTTTAATTTTAGCCATACTGAAGCTATAATACCCTTCACAGCTGCATTTATGAAAGCAAAAAAGTGCATAAAAAGATAGTTATTTTGGTTTTGATTGGTCAGTTTGTATGGCAACTACATATATGCTACAGTGATGCGATCTGAATAATTTTTGCGGAGATTACAGGCCTCTCTATAGATAGGTGATAATCTATGAAAAATTCCGTYAAATAAAACCKATTTSCATACAAGGAATAAACCTCACCTCATCTCCTCATACAGATCTTTTATAAATAGGTGCTTTATAGGGTCTCCGWCGTTCCCTTTTACATTTTAAAAATCTTGTGGCAAGTTTTATATACCCGGTTCCGGGTATAATTATATACATATACAAACATACTTATGTTTATGKAGACTTTTCCGCTCCATCCGCTGCTCATATGCTCGCTCACCCAGTTCCCCACTGCCACAGCTGCTTGCGTCTTCGTTTGCTGGTTTTCTCACATGTCTTTACACATAAATATCTAGCATATGTACATATGTATATATTTACGTACGTATGTACGTATCTTTTTCGTGCTCTGTTTACCCACTAGCGGATACGATCGGTCTTCCTTTAACTTGTTGCACGTCGCGCGAGCGCTTCCTCCAACTTGTGCACTCTTTGATTGCTACCATTGCAAACATGCATACATACATACATACATACAATATATACAAAAATACATATGTACATACATATTTAAGACCATAAATTATATACATGTAGTCGTTTTTGCTGGTCGCTTGCGGTTGCATTGTGTGAAACAAGTTTATTTGATTTTTGTTGTCATCATTGTTGTTATTGTTGCTTGTCATTTTGCTTGGTATGCACACTTCCGTTTGCGGCGTCTGGGCGAACATACATCCACACCACATACATACAAACATACGCTGTTGCTGCCAGCTACAGCCACTGCCACAGCGACTGCATTTTAACGGCAACAGCAACAACGGACGTTGCTGTGTTGTTGGCCCGTTGCGACGTTTTAGATGTCGAGTCGAGTTTCGCAAGGTAGCCTGATCTTAATAGCCGTCATCAGTCGTTTTTTTTGCTGTTGATTCTGCTGTTTGCTTGTGCAGCAGCATCAGTGGCAGCACTCGTTAGTATCGACAGCAACAACAATAACATCAAAGTTATTGTCGTCATCGTGAACATCGTCGTTTTGTATGGGTTAGTAATTCGATGTTGTTGTTGTTGTTGCTCGTTTTTTTTTTATGTTGAAACTTCCATATGTGCTGCAAAGTTAAACGGCAAGCGTTGACATACAGTGGGCAAGTTAGATTAGGGTTGTTAATAGGCTTTGAAACCTTTGTTATCTGCTCAAGGTCGAACGCTTTAAATTTAGACATGGGGAGTCTGAGTATTCGGTGGTTTAATTTTTAGCGGTGGGTGGTCCACGAAGCGAAAGTTAGTTCTCTGACAACTCAAGCTAACTTARAGTTAATGAAGTTTTTGACTTTTACCCATAGTTACACCTAAAAATGTCAGAGATCTTTCGTAAAACTGCTGGCACTACATCAAACTTGATAAACGARGAATGCACCGTCTATTGTGCCCCCAAATTTATTGTCCGAAATTGARTTTTTTCTGCGTTCACTATTCGCTTGGCGATTTAACACACCAAATTTGATTGTGAAGTACTCGCGATTCCTCTTCATGAGGACTGCAGGATGGTTGTTGTTCAGGTCACAAGAAAAGATATAGTAGTAAGATAGAAGTATATACCTTTTCAGATATATTCACTTTTTGAAAACCCGCAGACTTGAAAAGAGATGGTTAGACCTTGTGACCGAAAAAGTTTGAAGCTAGTTATTTATAAAAGAGATCCAAACATCGTCGATAGAATACTAGATAATGTTAAGTAGAAGCAAGCGATAGTCTCCAAGTACCAGAATTCTCCGTATTTGATAAATGTACTTTCGGAAAAAGTATTTCCAGTCGAATTTTGAAACTTCTAGACTGACAGACCTGGAAAATCAACAACCSATCAGATATTCACCATGCGCCAAATCTTGGAAAAGACCCGTGAATGGAGAATCGACATTCACCATCTCTTCGTCGATTTCAAAGCTGCTTTCGACAGCACGAAAAGGAGCGGCCTTTATGCCGCGATGTCTGAATTTGGTATCCCTGCAAATGTTATACGGTTGTGTAAGCTGACGTTGAGCAACACCAAAAGCTCCGTCAGAATCGGGAACGACCTCTCCGAGCTGTTCGATTCCAAACGAGGTTTCAGACAAGGCAACTCCCTATCGTGCGACTTCTTCAACCTGCTTCTGGCGAAAATAATTCGAGCTGCAGAACTAAATAGAGAAGGTACCATCTTCTATAAGAGTGTACAGCTGTTGGCGTATGCCGATGCCGTTATAGTGCAAAACAAATGGGTCTGGCAGTAAACGAGGGCAAGACGAAGGATCTMCTGTCATCAAACAAACAGCCGTCGCACTCGGGACTTGGCTCCCACGTCACTGTTGACAGTCATAACTTTGAAGTCGTAGATAATTTCGTCTATCTTGGAACCAGCATAAACACCACCAATAATTTCTGCCTGGAAATGCAACGCATTATTTCCTTGTGAACAGGTGCTACTTCGGACTGAGTAGGCAATTGAGAAGCAAGTCCTCTGTCGACGAACAAAAACCAAACTCTATAAGTCACTCATAATTCCCGAGCTTACCACTTTTCACATATATTTTTCTCATTTAACTACCAAAATTTATTCGCACTGCACCACTGTGATGTGCGGCCGTTCCCTATAYGCGAGCATCCGGCACATTACTACTCTGACCGCGCGCGCGTCTTCTCACTTCCCCAAAAATGGCAAGAAAACGGTTTTTTGGAAGGAAATTAACATAAAACGCGATTAAAACACGAAATATCGAGATATTTTTCATAAACAAGAAATTGCTACATTTGGAGGCGCGCACGCTGGAAAAGGTGTTAGCGTTGCGTCGCTTTGATTTTTTTCTGTGCTGTACTTTGGCRCATGTTACGTTTGCGTGCTGCTGTTTGCGACGCGCAAATCGCAGATCGCACGCCGCACCCAACCGCGTAAGCCAACAAACATACAAACAGAGCACAGCTGTGATCTGCCGCGCTGAAGATGCTGTCTGTGTGGGTTGGGCGCGATGCGCGCTGTTTCAGCAACCCGTTTTTGCGGATACAGTGCGGTGGGTTCACGTCCGCATTGCCAGCGGATGTATTTGTTTATTTGTCTGCTTTTGTTATTGTTGGAAGATATGTGTGTATTTGGAAATCGCCGCAAAACGATTTGCATTTATTTCGGTTTCGATTTTCGGTTTCAATACGCCGCCGCCTAATAACAATGCACACATACATGCATGCAAATATAGCTTTTTCCAAGCGGAAGTGTGCGTTCAAATACACCCACATGCCCATTGTACCGCTTTATTACGCTCCTTTCACCCTGCGTCAACGCATCGCTGTTAGTTAGTAATCTCATATATCGTTTTCGTAAACTTTATCTTATGTGTTTTTTCTTCTTTGCTCTCCTCTTTCCAGATCAGTTCGTGTACATTGGTTCGGTCGTTCGTTCGTTCGTTCGTTGTGGTTTACACGACAGCTAGCCAGCTAGCAGCTAGCGCAACTTGATTAGCAGCGAGCAGTGAGCAGCTTATTGGGCGACCCAGCGACCCAGTGTCGCAGCAGTCGTATTTCCGTGTGGCGTTGGTCAACACAAACAATTAAAATCGTGCACGCGTCTCTGGTTCAAAATGAAAATGCTTCCCGTACAGCTGTCGTTGAATCCGCAGCTCGGTCTGTGGGGTGATATGTTATGGCGTTGTCCGCCGGCGCCTTCCAGCCAATTGGCTGAATTGAAGACACAGTTGCCGCCATCGTTGCCATCCGATCCACGTTTGTGGGGTCGCGAAGATGTCACCGTCTTTTTACGCTTCTGCGAACGTGAATTCGATCTGCCCAAAGTGGATCATGATCTCTTCCAAATGAACGGCAAAGCGCTTTGCCTGCTAACACGCGCCGATTTCGGCCATCGCTGTCCGGGCGCTGGTGATGTATTGCACAATGTGCTGCAAATGCTCATCATCGAATCCCACATGATGCAATGGCATTTACCCAACAGCCCGGTCACACCGACCAGTCGTTATCCATTGTCGCCGCATAGCCATCCACAGACGCCCACATGGCCACCAATTGGCGCACCGCCGGACAGTCCATTTCAYAATGCGCATATGCATCATTTTATGACGCCCAATTCGGTAACGCTTAGTCCGCCRCCGTCGGTGGACTCACAAGCCAGCAGCCCGCCACAAAGCCAGGAACAAAATTTGGCAGTTGCGGCCGCCGCAGCAGCGGCCGCTGCTGCTTCAGTAAGCGGTGCTAGCACGAACAGCAGCAGTAGTAGTAGCACCAGTAGCGGTAGCAGTAATAGCGGTTTGGGCGTGACCAGCAGCAGCGCCAACAGTAATCTGTTGCCACCAGCCATCTCGGTAACAATGAGCAGCGGTAACGGTTACCCATCACATCTTGCGACCGCCAGCACAGGCGCCAGCAGCAATCAATCCGATTCGGATGAGGAAGGCAGTTACTCCGATCTGGCAGCGGCAAATAGTTTGTCCAAGAGCAGCGCTGCGGCAGCAGTTGTGGCMGCACATTACAGCGCCAGTCCGCCAACAACGCCCATATTAAAGGACATGCCACAGAGCTTATCGCAACAGATTACAAACAGTTTTGTCAATTCGTGGTCACAGAACCAGGCCGCACAGGCCATGAGCCAGAAGTATCAGCCGAATGGCAGTAGCGGCGGTTCAGTTTCGGCGCCGACGACGCCAAGCTATATGCAGCCCGTGAAACGCGAATTCTTTCCGGAAACCACAGAACCCAATACAAGTGAGTTAAAAATACAATAGTGTGAGCGCGAGCTTTCGTAGACATACAATTTTTTGTAACAAAACTAACTTTACATTTTTTCTCGCTCTTTCCTCAGATGGTCGTTTGCTGTGGGATTTCTTGCAACAATTGCTCAACGATCGCAATCAGAAGTACAGTGATTTGATCGCGTGGAAGTGTCGCGACACAGGCGTCTTCAAGATCGTCGATCCCGCCGGTTTGGCCAAACTATGGGGCATACAAAAGAATCATCTCTCCATGAACTATGATAAAATGTCACGCGCACTACGCTACTATTATCGCGTTAATATATTGCGCAAGGTCCAGGGCGAACGCCACTGCTACCAGTTTCTGCGCAATCCAACCGAGCTTAAGAACATCAAAAACATTTCACTGCTCCGACAATCCGTTGCCGGCAATGGCGGTACAACAACCGCAGCTGGTGGTGCTAATAATACCAACAGCGCAAGTAACAGCAGTACCAACAACAACATTAATAGCAACAATAATAATAGCAATACAAATAACGGTAACAACAGCAATCAGTCACCCAGTACAAATTTGAACAGTACAAATTGGACTTTGCCGCATCCACAATCGCCGCAGCGTCACCAATCCGCGCACGGATCTAACGGTAATGGCAATGGCAACACCAGCAACAGCCTGAGTCACAGCCACAATCACAGCAACGGTCTCAGCAGCCCGCACATGAGTCTACCTGCGATTTCACAATCCGCCGCAGCCGCTGCTGTAGCCGCTGCAGCTGCGGCCGCCTATGGTCCACCACCCACATCGCCGCTCTTCATGCACGCCATCAACGGTGCCTTCCAATACCTATCGAACCCAACGGGCGCACCGCCCAACTCGCCAGCAATGCCACACACCCCAAGCGAAAAATTCCAATTCGGCGCCTTAAAAGTGGAACACAACAGTGGATCGCGTTCGCCCGATCACGGTGATGAAATGAAACCCACAGATCTGAGCGTCTCAGGCAATAGCACCGAAAAGCGGCCTTACTCAAGCCCCTCGGCGGAGGATTGCTATCCGTAAGTACACACATACATAGCAAGCGCTTAACAACACAGCAGCTCATAAGTCTCTCTCTCTCTCTCTCTCAAACAGACTCATACGCAACGCTGACGGTCTGACCACAATCAAATTGATACGCTACAATAATGAGAGCCACGAATCAAGCGCCCCCAAGCAAACCGCGCACGAACAACAACAACACCACCAGCAACAGCAGCAGGCGCATACCGAACAGCAACAACAAGCGGAACAGCAACACCAACAACAACACACACCCATGGATCATATGGACAATGAAGGCAATGATGAGGACAGCGTGCATGCTGCTGCCACGGCAGAGAGCAATAAATATGGCGCCGCCAATCTAATGCCAACCGATCTGCGCAAGTAAGCGACATGTGGGAGAGACACAGTGATAGGAGCTAACTAATATGACAATATGCAACAAGAAGACGATGGTGAGCCGAGCCACAGCAATGCTGACACATACACACACARCAATAACAGCAACGCCAGGACAATCATTCGTAGTTAAGTGGGGAGTGCTGTTAGGGGTGTGTGGGCGTGAGAGAGCAACTCAGGAGTGCGCTTAATGAGAGATGGCAGGCAATTAGTGATATGAAAAAAAATTAATGCAGTGCCCAATAACTGTTTGGAGAAGTATACAAAAAGTCTACAAAAAAGTCTACACAAAAGCCTACAAAGAAGACTCCATAAAAGTTCTTCTGCTCCAGTGCCAAATCTACGTTTGTACATATGTAAGCTCAAGCATCGTTCAAGTTGCATAAAATTCAATAATTCATAATTCCCCTGGAATTCATACTAGCGTCGGCAAGTGTTCGTGTACCGCTCTGCTATGATTCATTTGCGCTGACGCATCGGTTGCACTTCGGTCAAATTAACATCTCTTTATGTATGTAAGTGGCAAGAAGTTGCACTTTATTTTTATTATTATTAAATTATAGAAGTGATTGGAAGTGTGCAAGCACACAGGCAGATATTTGCAAGCAAATACATACTTACACACATAATATGTACAGAAAAGCTTAGATATGTGCATACATATGTGTGTAGGATAGTATATAAAATAATTAATAAATTACTTGCAAATGAGTGCGTTAATATACATACATAGATATKWTGTATGTACATATAAATATATTTAGTACATACATATATACATAGAACATAGTTAAGCTTTTTGTATAGTTTGTAAATGTTAGACGCGTATATTTATGTTTAAATGCATACTAATATATTATATATAATATAAGGAAACATAAATAATATGCGTATATATGTGAAAGTATATATTTACAATAACTTTGACAGTGTAAGAAGTAGATTAAATACATATATACATATACACTTGCATACATATATATATTGACAAAATAATTAACAATACAGTTATTTATATGCATAAATGCATAGCTAAAGAAGTGTTATATATAAATAGTATATATGTATATACATATACTATGTATATATGTATGTAATACTAAAATTAAGGATTAATATACTCATTAATATTTCAAAAACAGAAATTCGAACACTCAGAGACGCAGACACACACACACATATATATAATGAACAGCAACTAATTTTTATATAGTATATGTAAAATGCATTATCTCTTATTTATATATGTATACTTGGTAATTTAAGCTAATTTAAAATTGTAATTTTTTGTTTTTGTTTTTTGCTTTTATTTTAGTTTTTTTGATTTGTTTTGTAAATAGTGCAAAATTTTCGAAAACTGTCGTATTTGAACTTTTTTATATGAAAAAGCTCAGTTTTGTCAAATTTTTATTGTCTCATGCAAATGAATCACAGAAAAGTGCGAAAGCTCTGCATTTAAGATCAAGCAAAATGTGAGTAAATGTTGCTAGAGGAATGAAAATGAGCAGAAGTAAGCGAAGAGGATATGATCCCTGAGCTGTGAATGCTTGGTTACCAGCAAGTCACAGAGCTTTTCGAGCAATGAAAGCTAATATCGTCATTTTAAGCCACAAAGTGATGTTTGTCTAAAGCGAATTTAAAGATATCAGTCTTAAAGTTTTTTAATGCACATCTTAAGCAATCTTAAGCATGCCAGCTAAAAGTCAATCCAGTACTAAGCTTTTGCAAGATTAAAACAGGTTATCTTAGAACAACAAGCAGATGAATAAACTAAAAACCAATGTGAAAACTGAACAAAAGCACAACTGTGAAAGTTCAACATCAAACAGTTACTTAAAGCTCAATACTCGAGCTTTCAAATCTTAAAGTTACTTATTGCTAAGCTTGTAAATTTAAGTGTGTAAGCTTACATCCGYTCAATTGTTTTCAGAGAAATTTTTGAAAGCTTAAAGAATACGTTTTCAGAGCTTAAACTAATAAATTCCTAATGTAATTGAATTTATTTAACAATATTAATAGCGAAAATTTTGTTATGAACACGGAAAAGCTATGTGGCTTTTTAAAAGCTCAAGACTTCGCAAAGTTTCAATATTTCAAAGCTCACAAAATCTGATTTTGCACCAAATCGAGCCTAATMTTTTTAGCCAATTTTTAAAGCTTTGTTTTGTAATTTTGTAAAGCTTTAGCCTTGACAAATGATAACACAGCGTTAAATTGACAAGTTGCTTTGCACATTTTCTGACATTTCACTGCAATTGCATTTACTGAAAGCTTTTCAAAAGCCTTTTGGTAATTTCAAGCTGCAATAATAACTTGAAAGCTCACTGGAAGTTTCACAAAAGTTCTCAATACAGCATTTTTCGATATTTTTGCATAGCTATTACATAATTATTCTTTTCTTAAACTGAGTGTTTTTTTAAACTCACTCAAGTTGTCGCTTTTCGGACAACCATACGAGGGGTGTAATGTGCCAATTACAATTTAATAAATAATAGTAGTTTTTTTTTTTTTTGGAAAACATAGTTTTTTAGCATACAAATATATGAATATGTGTAAATTTTAGTATAAAAGTTTATGTATTTTAAAATAAATTTCAATTTCTTCCAAGCACTTGCTAACCTAGCTTTTAGTAACAACACCAGAAAAATAAAAAATAATTATTAGCAAGTAGCAAATATTTTCAAGATCTTAAAATAAATTATATGCATACATACATACACACAAAATATGTACATATATTATTTTGCTGTAGTCCACATAAGTGATCCTTTTTAAGCTTTACAATAACGCCTCGGAACAGGTTTCAGCAATGGCGACTATTACACACACACGCATGCACACAAACACACGTAGCCACGCGCATACGCATATGCAACCAGCATACATACATATATTTTATATATACATATGTATAGCATTTACATATGTATAAATAAGTATAAAAACAGTTAAAGTTTACATAGACGATAAATATTTGTTTTATTGTTGTTTGTAGTTGAAAAAGGAACTTAACAATTAAATTGAAATTTGAGAAAAACTAATGCTTAGCGTTTTCACAGTTATAACAAAGATGTATACAACAACAAAATAACAAAAAATGTCTCATTTAAGCTTTGCACATAATTTTTAAGTTAAGCATCTTAAAATACTCCAAACACATACACACACGCAAACAGTTAAAATGCTTGTGGTTTTTGTTTTTCAAATACATACTAAAATTCATACAAATTTACATGCATATGCTTATGTATGTATATTGCTGTCTCTTATACACATCTAGATGTGTATAAGAGACAGGTATGTAATACTAAAATTAAGGATTAATATACTCATTAATATTTCAAAAACAGAAATTCGAACACTCAGAGACGCAGACACACACACACATATATATAATGAACAGCAACTAATTTTTATATAGTATATGTAAAATGCATTATCTCTTATTTATATATGTATACTTGGTAATTTAAGCTAATTTAAAATTGTAATTTTTT